AAATTGATACAGACGAGATTGTTGGAGAGTCCAAATGTAACAAAGCAAGACGAAGCATTTAGAAAGATAATGCCGACGATAGATGCTCTTTTCTTTCTGAAACTTGCAGTGGAAATGTGTTTCACAAATTTCAAAAACATTCGAAGGGAAATATACAACGATATTCAGTGGACCATCAGGAAGGACTCCATGTGACAGAAACAAAGAAAATTTTTGAACAGAGAGAATCGTTGTGGACAAGATTAAAGAGAACCCGTTGACTCATAGATACTGTATAAGAATCTTGTCCGCAAATATTTTCTTTGCACTGTACAACTATTCTTTTGCGGTCCCTTGACGGGCATAGGGGTTTCTCCCCATGTTTTAGGTATTCCCTACATCGAAATTCTGTGTACAGTATTAAGAAATTCTTCATGATCCTCTTGTGATACGCTGTTGAGAAGATCGACGTTGAGTTTCCTTCGTTCAGGCACTTCATTATGTGAAAATTTTTATTCTGGCAAACGGCGAAGTCCCCCTTTCATCGATTTGAAACTTGAGTACAGTGAATACATTGTGAAACATAAAAAAAGTAATCTTTCGTGGACTAGGAAGAGAAAATCTTCCTGGTAACAAGAATAGCAGTGATTTTTCATCTTCATATGGAAATTTCTTCCGTTGCTGAAGCTCGAGTACAGTCATCACAATGCAGAAATTAAGTCGGATAAAAACACTCCCGACCTTTAAAATATTCTTTTTGCAGAAATAATCTGATTTTATCATTTCGTGGGCTAGGAAAATAAGATCTTAACGTTTTTACCGATGCGCAGTGATTTTGAATAATTGAGAATAATTCGTTTACCTGGTTTTTGAAAAGAGTCCCCATGAGAAGTTCGCTGCTGAAGCGTCCTTATTCCTGCTGAAATTTAATTCCTGTAAATAAATATTCAAAATAATTAAAATTAAAAACTCAGAAAAATGACTTTCCAATAAACGTTTATACGTTCTTGACTCCGGAGCTTCCATGAAAAAGTTAAAAATACTAAAAACACGCATAAGGGAAAAATCAGTATGACGATGGGAAGTTCGATCGTAAAGCCGTATTCGCTATGGCACTTGAAGTAAAACCTGATTCTCAGGAGGATTATGACTAGAAACTTGGCTGTTATTTTTTGCATTTAATATCAAAAAATACTGGATAACTATGAGTAACTCAACAGCAAAGCATCCTGCTCCTTATCTTTTTTTCTTCAGTTGCGCCGCCGATGATGAAACTAAATAACAATTGAATGACATAGTGATTTCATGTGCAGTATTTAATTCTGCATTGTTCCGTTTGATTTTTTTCTAGATAAAAAAAGATTTCGTTTTGAAGAAGTAAAAAAAAATCTTATCAACCCCAAATAATGTTTTTGAAGAACTGTGTGGAATGAAAAATCGGCGGATGCGCCCATGTAAAAATAATCAATGACTCTTGCTGAAATGAATACGACTCTCAACTATCGAATTCGGTCGCATAAATAACTGAATCACACATTGAACTTAGTGATTCATTGTCGTAAATGTTTCTAAAGAATGCTAGCACTGTTCCTTTCGAGCAAATCGAGAAGTTATGCTGGGAGTTATAGTAATCTTAAACTAAATTTTAGAATCGTAAGTGGCCAAAAAAAAAAGAGATTCAGCGAAATCGTGTGGCATTTAAAAGGCCTTTGCTAAAATATAATTTTCTAGTTCTGTAAAATTTGAATGCTGATTTGGTGCTGATAAAAAGTAATAAATGTTCTCCATTAAAAACAAGTAGATTTCTGATAAAATAAATAATACCTCAAAATCCAAGAAATGGCCAAGATGCAATCTTAAATCCCTATAACCTTGCGACAGATCAATCGATGATTCAAAAAAATGAATGACAAATATCACTGCTCTTTTGTTTCTTCTTGGAAAGTGTCGGGTTTTATTACGGAAATAAAAACAACCGTTCACCGTAACTTTGCTATCAAGCATCGAAAACTATTTATGGTTCCCATTTTTAATTTATCGTAGCGAACTATTGTCTTTATATGCAGTATTTCTCTTCAAACTCTTGAAAAAGTTGGATGGATCCCGAAGTATATGCTGTTGGTGGAAGGTTCTTAAATCATTCAGTTACTTTATGCAGTACGATATTCACTTTGCCAATACAGTGTACAGTAAAATATAAGTCAACAATTTAGGATTGAAACATCGTTGCGTTGATCACGGAAGCCCGGAAATATCAGTTGTTCAACAGACAGAACCTGTCGAACATCTGGTCGTTTAATTTCTTCATAATTTACCTTCGTAGATGTTCTCTTCAGTGGTTTCATCATATAAGCATACGTTCACTGTTGCGTACGATACATGTGTTCCTTCAGCAGAGAGAAAAAAAAGAAGATATAATTGATCAGAAATCCTTCTTGTTTAATTTCGATATTTCTGCGTTTCGAGGATTTTTGTTAAAATACTGCATGATAATTATTAAGATCGCGTCAGTGGACTTTCGGGGGGTGAAAATGAATTCATCAATTTCCGTTTGCAGATAAGGATCTCGTGGTAAAGTTACCGTTACTTTGTTTCTTGTTGTTTTTCGAAAACGATACGTTTGATTTTTCTTTTCGGCGCAAGTGGTGGGAAGAAGAATATTCGCACTCCGTCGCGATTTCGGTTGACGCCGGAGACATGAAGTTTACTGTGAGTATTTTCTGAGAAGTATTCTCGCATTCCTTTTTCTTATGGTGGCCTGGGGCTGAAACTGATTTTTTTGATGAGCTTCCCTCGAGGGCTTTTCGGCGAATCTTGAGGTCAGAAGAAGACGGCTAATCTGCATTCCGAAGGCAGAGGATTTTGCGATTATTCCGCGGGTTTGCGTCTCGTCTTTGAACGTGATTTTGTCAAAAGTTGTAAGGGTGAACAGGACAGAACGTTAAACGAAGAAGAACATTCCTTAAAAATATATTGTAACTATGGTATTGTAATAACGGTGATTTTTCGCTTCACTCTCATCTTCAGTGTTTTCAATTTAGCTCGTACTGTTTTTAATAGTAGTTCCGAGTGTAAGTTCGGATTCGCCTTCTTTGTTTTTGAGTTTCACTCACGTACAATCTATTAATATGCATAGATATTGTCTTTTTTTCCAAAATCTCCCAAGTCAAGTTCATTATAAATCCGGTCAGGTAGAATGAATGGATGAAAATTAAGATCTGACGGATCCACGTGACGGTGAAGGATTGGGATTGTTAATCAAAACGAGTTTCCAAATCGGTTCATCGTTTGAATAAAGTATTGAATTATATTATAAGTTCCTTATTAATGTATCAGTTTCCTTTTCAATTTATTCGAGATTGCTGACAAATCGAGAATAACATAGTGGCTTGCATTCGGGAAATTATATAAGTTTTTTTTATCCAAAGGTATAATTAGGGATTTTCCTGTCCAAAGGTTTTTCTCGAAGTGATGTGGAATTTTGATTCTCGTTTTCTGTATTTATGTAATGGTTGATTTCGGAAGAGAGCATACTTACAAAAGGGTTTCATTCTTCGAAATCTCCCGTTTTTAGTGAAATATTTCGGTGCGTTTTTCTTTAAAAATATGCAATGTTCACGCAATTTACAGTATCCACTTGATCCGTTCTTTTTAATATAAGCGTCTCACTCATCATTATAGAGCAGAAATATTGAAATTATGCATAATTTGGTTCGAGGTACAGTGTTTCAACCTGCTTTTTTGCGCGAGTAAGACCTTAAAATGTTTCAAATGCATACACATATCTCTGGAAAATTTTCATAACCAAAGGCATCCGACGATAACCGATCAATTCGTCAATGATGATCAATCATCTGCTGCGTATGGTTTCACTGCACCATTTTTTTTTTAATCGTCAAGTCGACACACGAATTCCTTTCGGGTTCCGCTTCCGTGTTTGGCGGATGTACACGTTTTTAAGACCGGGTGCTGTTTTCGGATTTCTTGCGTGACGCCCATGGGCAACCAAAGTCAGGGCCCGGGAAAGTATTCTTCTTACCTCGGGCGGAGAAAAGAAAACATCGAAGAAGCAGGAGAAAATAACTGGCTTTTTTTTCGCAATACAGAAACATAACAGAAAAGTGGAGAAAACCCCCATGAATACTCAACTTTGCTTTCCACGACACACCGTTGTGAAAAAAAGTGTTTTCATTTACTTGTTTGCGGTACGATGAGGTGGTTGTTCTCATGATGAATGACATGTACGGTGGGTGTCATTTTAGAAATGTTCTTATACAGTGAAATGAAATTGTGAAAACTGCCCGGGATCGAATTACCTAATTCATACCGTTCATCGAAACCATTGTAAATGCAGAAATATGAATTGGGATTTTTTGGAAAGAGAGCCGAGAAGTTTTGCTGCAGGAGTCTATTGTATATGCCAAAAAGTGAGCACGAAAAAACTGAAGCTCTCAAGATTTTCTCCTCAGAAGTTCTCGTGATGAACATGAAGAATTATTCCGTGGAGATACGTTATTTTAAAATTTTCGTAGTAAAATCAAATTGTGAAAACTGCCCGGGATCGAATTATCTAATTCAAAAAGTTCCTCGAAACCACTGTAAAGGTTCTGAAAAGTTGATGTGAGCACGTAAAAATAAAACTCTCGAGATTTTGTCTCGTGTTTCACTTTCAATATTAATTTTTTAATGAGATTTTCTCTCCGCAATGAATGGGAAACAATATTGATTAGGTTCATATGACGCAATACTGTATTTTGTTTGTTGAGCAGGACTTCTGAGAATCCCCTTGATTTGCTTTTGTGTTTTTCTTTTTTAAAGCAAGAACATTTTCTTGATAATATTGTTGGTTTGTGTCATTAGCCATGAAGAGGTGATTTATTATAGTTTTGACTGATTTATGCTGCAAGTCACGTGGACGGGGTTCGGTTTGGACGAGGGTTCGGCTTTCGAAAAATGTTCTTCTTCGCGGCCGTGAGCAGGGTTATGATGGGTTTTTATTTTAATGACACTTCTTCCCTTGGGTTCGCATTTCGCAACTTCGAAGCCAACGGTTTGAAAAATTTATCCCTTTCGGCTTTTCTCTGTTTTTTTTTGGGTTCTTGTAGAGATGAGCTGCTTGCTGAAAATGTACGATAAGAATGAAGCATCTCATTAGCAGAGGTTATGATTTATTCGACAGCGTGGAAAAAAAGGCTTTTAGTCCGCAGACTTTCTCTGTCGAAGGAATCCGGATTTCATAAATTTTTTCGGACTCATAAAATTGAAATGAGCTTTTTGCAAAGCTTACTTTTGAGAGGAGGCTAAAAATGTTCGCTTATAATAATTACGTGGCCGCCAGAATGCTTTGACTAGAGAATGTTTCCTGATGAGAACGTTTTCAAGGGCCTTAGAACAACAGGTAATTGATTTACATGCAATATTTTTAAAATTAATGTTTAATAACTCTTCGGGAGTTTCAGAGTACTGTACGTGTGTCAACTCTTGCATTTATTTGGGCGTGAGTTTATGGAACAATACGATTATTTTTCCAAAATTTTTTGTGGTCTCTTCGATTGAAAAATGAAAGAAGAGTTGGCATCAAGAATACTGATTCTGATGCTTTTTAAAGCGAATAATCAAAATGAAAATAATTTAAGACTCTTGTCAAAAAATATCTTCGCACTTTGACGGAAAAAAGGTTGTAATTTTCTTGTGAGGTTCAAAATTAATTGGCTTTGAATCATCGCGTAATTACGTTGTACATTCGGTTATACTTCACTGTTGGAATTCTCTTCGCTAAGCATAAAATGGTGGACTTTTAATCTCTCCTGTTTTTGAGGAGCTAGACGATGAATAATATTTCAGTTGCCCATTCGCATTCGGTTCGTGATTCCGACCGAAAAAAAGTGGAGCGTATGACGATCATGTAGCTTAATATTACAAGCAAGAATGAGACGTGACTGGAATTTATTTTCTTTTATCGTGGAAGCTGAGTGAAAAGCTGGGAAAGTTCCATTTTCCCATGATTTCGTTTATTATTTTCAAAAATGTATTCTCTGTGCGGACCTCCGCCTGTCTCGACGAAGAAATGCTAAGGATTTTTTTTTTTAGCGACGAGAATGTCTGTCAAAAACATTTCTATTTTATGGACAGTTGCTCAACGTAATGGTGCTTTTAAACTTTTTCATATGCCGAAGAAGTATTATACTGTACAGTGCTTGAATTCTGCGTCAAGTTTTGAGTGCGGATATTGAAAAACCCTTCAAGAGGGTCTGAAAGTTATTTAGAAAATATATGCAGGGAAAACGTTCACACGCTTTTTCAGGCAAGTTCTTTCCTGTTTCAGAAGATGAATGATTTTGTTGTTGTTGCAGTTTTCGTATTCGAGAATGTCGTGAAGCATTTTCTTCCATTGATAATTTTTCCCGAGTTCCGCGAACGAAACCGTTCCGGCATTTTATTATAAATTTCGGTGTCGGAATTTCAATTCGTTTCTCGCGTTAATTGAATTTTCATAGATGGAAGGTATCCTGCTTTTCCTTCTTTCGTTTGCCGAATTTAAACCTAAATTTAATTTTCTACTGCGTTGAGAGAATTGTACACACTTCTCTCACGAGTACATCGTACAGTTTCATTATAGCTCGTGACCCGGGAGGTGACGATATGGATGCGAGTCACCTTTCGGGTTAATGAGGCAACACTGTGTTTCTGATGACGGAAAAGAATCTGAGGTCACTCGCTTAGACAGACCAGCCAGGTCAGAGTTTCTTGCTAATCTCTCTCGAGTCTCTTCTGGGTGTGTGCTCGTCTTTGTTCACGATGAGCCCGAGTCTTTGATTAATGATCTCTTCTTCGTTTTTTTTTCCGAGTCGCGGGGCTTTTGAATTCATCGGCTGTCACCTGGAGGATTAGTCTACTGATCACTTCTGAGTGGATTTGTTCTTTTTGCTTGCCGGGAATATATAGGATTTAAATTTAAAGTTCCCTTCGTCATGCAGGTGGTAAGCCGAGGATCGGACTAAGATTCTTTTCGTGGGCTTTTGTTGTGTTGGGGAAGAAATTTGGATTGTCTCTCGGAATTTCACGGAGATGACTTCGGAATTTATAGTTTTTCTTTTTTTTAGGCGCCAAGAGATTTTAGAGATTCGGAATTCCCGTTTCAGGATTTAAATGCACAAAGAAGGATTATGCCCGCGTTGAACAAATTATTTTGGAAGCTGGAAAGAACCCCGCGATAATTTTTGTACAGGCATTTGTTTCAAAATGAAAGTGAAACTTTTCCAAAAAAATTTTAATTCCAATAAAAACGCCTTATCAAGTGATTGAATGCATGGAAATAGCAGTGTTCCAATTCTCTTTATTATTGTCAAAACTTTTACAAGGCTGCGAGATTCTTGAAGACAATTTTCCGGGAGCAGGTGCACGAACGATCGATGAAAAATTCGTGATAATCCTAATTTTTTTCCGTCGTTTTCAATTCGATGTACAGTATGCTCACGAAATTTCCCGCGAACTCATGGATCATTACGAAAAACGAGTAAAAAATGTGGTAATCATGCTGGAAAAACGTGGGAAGCGTCGTTCAACCTTAATTTTGCGTGCGGGAATGTAATTACCTGCTGTTGTATATATGAACCTCTTTATGTAATTGGGCGTTGCTCTTTACAGATGGCATTCGTAGCAGTGATGTTGCTGCTAGCTACTGTTCAAGCAGCAAGTCCGCAAAACCTGGGTAAACCAGTTCAACAGCCAGTCCAACTACAACCTCAGAAAGTATCCGCCAATGTCGGGGTTCGTCCGCAACAAGCGTGAGTAACCTAGCTGAGTGGGATCGTCATCTCATCAGTTAATGATTCATTGGTAATTTAATGCGTCTTTGGTTATGCTGTAATTAATCTTGCCTGTGGCTTGAATGAACGTGGTGAACGAATAAGCTTTATGGCTTTTGCAGTACATGAGTGCATAGTGATCTTTTTAAAGTGGATTCGCCCATGAATTCAATACCTTCGGTATTAAGGGTCGGGAAACAATATTGTAGGATCGATGAAAACCTTTTCATTATTCACGGCCAATACGTTGTTATTTCGGGATATTTTTGTGTCAGTCTGTGCTATGTACTTTACCGATATTTTAGAAGATGTAAACTTTTTGTGCCGCATCAATGATATGGTAAATACCAGAAATTTATTTTCTAAGCAATATTCATTCTGCCGTAATCAACGTTCGGCGAAAGAATTTAATGAAGACAGTTGTCCTTTTGGATCTTCGAGCGGATTAAAGGTGTAATATTTTGTATGATCATGCAGACTTGAAGGTACAGAGTGTGACTCATCTTTTACGCGTTCAATAAATGCAGTCTTCGAGTTCCCAACGGATTAGAGGGATGTGAACTTTCATTATCCCGCAATACAGTACTTTCAGCGATTACCGTGATGAGATATTAGCAAGGGCGACATCTAGACTGTGACAACTAGTGATCAATGTCTTATTTGGAAACAAAGATAGGAACACTGATTTTTGTTCGATTTATTACATTACGGTAAATGTTGTGCTGTACAGTACTTGCAGATGCGAACACGCAAATATTGTGATCTTGTGCAGCAGGAAATGGTCATTATATACAATAGCTAGCCGAAGACTTCAGTGTATCTTCTGAAAGAGATGGATTTTGCTTTCTATTGCTATAGGGAAACGCTGAGACTGCTAGATAGTATAGTAAAAAATAACTTTTTGCATTTCACAATGACTAAATTTCTAATTATACTGGGTGTATTGTCACAGTTGTCAAAATATCATGAGCGTTATCATATATTCTTTGATAACGTTTCGTGTTCCTTTGAAGAGGAATTAGAGGATATACAAGTATGAGTCCATCCATCACATGTAAAGTACAGTATTTTGTTGAACGTTTCTGAATAGCCGTAGGGAGGAAACTCTGGCCTCACCGCCTCAGTCGATTGTTCACTCGTCATAACGCCCCCTTCATTCAGAAAATGTCGTCTCCGGGCAAAGGAAAAATAAATCGGTGAAGATGAGCACATGACCCGAGTTCACTTTCACCTCGTTTTTCAAAGGCCCGACTCAGTTACGTCACGCCTGCGTATGAGCATTATACAAGGCATTGAGCTATTGTTATTCGAATCATCCGGAAACTGTTCGAGTTACGAGAAAGGGTCGATGAAGCAACTTTGCTTTGCATGAGAATAATTTTTCGTCCATCGGGAAGTTCCAGGATCGTCATGAATAACTCCTTCGTGGGGACCAGGAGAAAGTTGTCGCTTTATTTGCAATGCCAATCAGTTCAGCCCGATGGTAGTGAAGTGCTAATTTCCTGAGCAAAGTAATGTTTATCTGCGATGCTTCACTGGGCTCTGAAGTATTTGTAGTATTGTGTGTCAATTTGTTTGCAAGGGAAAATGGAATGTTGACGCAACGGACTCCGGAGATATTGTCTTATCTTTACTGCATAAAGATCCTCAGAGTTTATTCATGGAGGTCCAACGAAAGCTTTGCTCTTTCTAATGAAAAAATACCCTTTATTCATGAATAACTGAATGAAAGGCGTCTTCAGTTTGCCAACTTATTGACCAGACGAGCGAAACATCATTTATCCAATTGGAATTGTAGTCGAGGTTTTGGGTAATAGTGACTTCTGAGATTAGGGTCGTGCGTGACTGAATAAAATAAAAAATCCTAATTGTGGATAGATGTCACTGCAAATAACGTTGAACCTGCGTTGTAAAGTTGAGTCACCTTCCTGTCTTGGACGCGCTTACTGAAATTGTCATGCTCTGTAATATCTTTTCAAAATGTCCAAGTTTTAAATGTTGCGTTGATTGGGTGCGCAGCATGACTGGAGCAGTGATCAGTTGGGTTGAGGGGAAAAGGTTCTGACTTTTGAACTTCGCGTCAACATTCCGCTGGAATTCGAGTGCGCAGGAGCCGAAGTTTCTCGCCCGCGCGCATTGAAGGATCCAGAAGTGCAAGTCGTGTCTAGTCGTCCGCCGGTCGGGGGCAATATGATGCAGTCCTGTACATAGTTTAATGGTCACGATATTGAAAACGTGACTGCTGTCCCCAGAACCCAAGTCTACCGGTCATTCGAATTGAATGAGTTGCTGTATGCCAAATTTCATACCCGCGTTTTAACAATTTTCGCGTATTCGTATTTGTGCAGAGCAAGGCGGATGCAACAGCCTCAGCCTGACCCATTGGATGAACATTTCGATCACATCTTTAACGCCTTCGTGGAGAAAACTCCAGGCAAGGAAGATTCCGTGTGGGACCGTCTCAAGCGGAACTTCATCGACGAGGAGGTGAGTCTTTTCATTTAAATTGACGCCGAAAAAAAGAAAGAAGAAAACACTAACTGCTTGCTCTAAAAAATACGATCACGTGAACTTCCATTACAGCAGAATCTTTAACGACTCATCTGATAGAAATCTGCTGCGTTCCATAAGAAATTATACACGCATGCCTCATCGTTGTACAGCTGATCGTAGAGTGCCGGTTTCCGCGTAATACAGTATTGGAATTGTGTACAGGATATATGTATTTATTTCCAGATTTATATTTATTTCCATGTAAAGAGAAAGCCTCCCAGGGAAGATGTCTTGACTTTGTACATATCTGTAATTATTAACCCTCGTGTGCATGTTGTGCCTATGTTCATCCTGGTAGCAAACGCGAACGAAACGCTCGGTTCGCCTCTTGCCGAACTCACTCAAGGGCAACCTCCTGGACAAGGTCTTCGAAGCTTCAACAACAGCCGCACACGCGTTCGTGAAAGTCATAGACAAGGAATACCCGACCCGCCGGCTTTTGCATCGCGTTGACAAAGCCCTGGACTTGGTTCTTTTTCGCGTACCTCCATTGTTGAATCGATTGGACCCTGTGTTGAACCTCGCAGCGAGCGCGCCCAGGTACTTGGCATTACTCGAAGAGATGGCGAATACGCTTAGACCAGTCGGTCCCATGATCCCGAGGGTGAATCGGTTGTTGGGTAGCTTGGAAAGGATCGATTTGCCGACATTAGCAGCACGGGCTGATAATATGCTGATCCGAGTGACTAATTTGCCGATGGAACGGATAGTTGAGGGCCTGTTCAATACCTACGCGGAAGTGCGCAACTTGGGTGACATGGCGTCGCAATTCCAGCGGCTCGCCCCGCAATTAATCGCTGCGTTTCAGCAGAACAGAGGTTCTGGTTCTGTGACAACAACGACGACTATGGCGACGACGACGACTGAGGCAGCTGCCGGCAATGGGACTAGTTCTGATATCAGCACTACTAAACTCCCCGAAGGTCTCATCAACATTGACCCCCGTATCTTGGCCAGGTTCGAACCGAAGGTCTTACAGAATCTGAATCCGGCCGTGTTTCGTCGCCTCACTCCGCAGTTGATTGCATCGATTGACCCAGCATTTCTGAATGCTTTGTCCCCCGGTGTGCTACGGAACATCAACCCGGACGTGATTGCTGAAGTCGACCCCAAGTTCCTCAGAACAATTAAACCCGAGGTGCTGAATGCTTTGCCCGAAGAGATCATTCGTGACATCACGCCGGAGATCGTGAAAACCTTTGAACCCGAGTTACTCGATAGTGTGGATCCAGAGTTGATCAAGAGTCTGGACGCGGATACGATCCGCAATTTGTTGTTTCCGCAGAATAATCGCCGGAGCGACATTATTAAGATGATGGCGAACCGGAGAATTCCGCCGGAAATGGTGGCTGCTTTCCGTGGAAGGAAACGCGAGGGATCCTGAGAAGTAATGAGCATGAAAATATTTGGATTTTTTTAGAAATCTAAATTTTGTACAGCTCACTGCATGATGTTCGCCCGTTTGTTGTATGTTCTCAAAATTTCCCCCACCTATACACACTGCTGATGATCAGGATGGAAGTGTCTGTATAGTGCTTCGTGCTTTCAAAGGAAGCTTTTAGCTTTTCACCGGTGACTTTTGTTTTTTTCGATGCTCCCGATTATGTGAGAGTTTTTTCTGTTCATGAATTCAATCAATAGGATAAATTCTTGAAAATGGAAGTGCTTCACTGAACGCAATGCATGAAGACTTTAGTTTATCCGTCGAATTTCCGTCTCACGCTCGAGCCTTGTACATTTTTTTCAGATGAAACGGAATTTTCTTTGATTGAATAGTGTACCTTGACAGCAACGTTTTTTAAAAAATGCATTGGAAAATTTGTTTCGAAATTCCTGAAAATTTGTTACCATGGAAACAAACTACTTCGATGGCTTCAGGCGTCGAATAATTAATTGTTGGATTGTCTTCGGACGAATTTTGAACTTTCGATGCATGAATATATGCATGTTAGTCAATGTCTCGATGCGTAAACTGAAAATATTTTTATATTTTTTGCCTCATTTGCATGTCGAATGCTGAATGTGTTCAATTCGGTTTTTTTGACGCGCAGAGCGTAGCATTGTGATGACACGTTGTTTTGTATTGTGGTGAATGGATATCTTACAGCTCATGCGGAGAAACAATGAAGCGTTTCTCATTTTCAAACATTTCGGTTGGTTTTGGTTTTTTCTTTTTAACTCTTGTGTTCATAAGTTACCCTTTTCATGTTTGGATGAAGCCTTCTTCTTCAAAGGTGGAAACCGATCCTTGTGTACTCCGCTGTACATTTGTTGATGCGCATGGATTTTCAGGAATCGGAAGGTAATGTGAAAACTTTTCAACGAAGGTACTAACAAAAATGCATGTATTTTATATAAACTGCACGATTTTTTTTAGCTGAAACCCTTTCGGAAAGTAGACTTGGGAAGGATCATTATTGTATACCGTAAGTTCCTTGAATCTCAGTACAGTAGTTTTCAGAGAAGAGTTAGTTTTTCACCAGCCTATAAGCAAGACGAAATTTATTAGACCTCGAATATTTCCTCTCGATGTGGGATGAAAAATAGTCAAGCAGAAATTCTGCAGTCTGATACTTGATTTACGATGTAAAATTACAAATTACAATTCAAAGATAGAAGATAATTTTCAGCTTGCCTGCAATCCCGATAATCAGGACAGTACAACTCGTAGATTGTTTTGCGTATTTCAGCCCGCTCTTCTATGTTTCGGTTACTGGCATAGAGCGACTAGAAACTTAGTTAATCATGCGAAAAATTTTACTTCAGAAGTATTGTTAAGATTACGTTTTTTATACTCGCTGAAATCTAAATATGCATGAATATTCCTTTATCTGGGCAACATTAAGGAGAACAGTACAATATTGTCACCATTAATTTGGCACAGCAACTTAAGACAGTTTTTTTTCCTTTTCCGTTGTCCACAAATAATTGTTGCTTGGAAAAGAATGCTCCCATTTTATGCAGAGTAGATGTACCAAGCTGACGGGTATTCAAATTTGTGAAAAGGAAAAAGGAAGCTAAAAAAAGTTGCCTACCTTTGACGCATGTATAGTATCATAGAAGTACCCCTAAATGTGTTCAATGACCAAAATTCCACTGAGTTAGATCATTTTATTTTTGTTGTTGTTTGGATATTCGATTGAAAATCGTTTCGAGGATTATTCCCGAAACAGTATGATCTCTTTACGACGGATCTCATCCTTACAACGAATGTACTGCAATCGATTACAACGAAGCCATCTTTATAGATCCCTGTCTGACAGCTGCAATATTGAATGAGTCACTTGATAATAAATTTTTTTTTTACAACAAAGCTATTTTTTTCTGGCCCCCAAGAAATGGTTTCGTTGTGACGAGATTTTACTGTATATCATTAAAATTTTGAGGTAAATTTGTCATTCTTTCGATTGACCCTTCAGGTAGTATAGAATCTCATGTCATTTAATATACGACCTATAGAAATTATTTTTAGATACAGTGAAAGTTGATGCGCATGAATCTCTAATACTGCCTTTAAAAGACTTGCTTGCCGAAAAAAGTGAACGTTTCCAAAAATATGCCTGACTGACAAAACAAAGCACGAAATTAAACCTTGCACTTGCATCTTGGGTAACAAGCATGTTCTGCACTTGTTCTTCCTCCCGCAGAGGACGGAGCAAATGTTGCCGGAAACTCCTCGCAACACCGGCGATCGCATGAGTCGCCGCACAATCTGGCGTCATAAAGAAGGCACTCTCATCAAGCCAAGATTGCTCGCGAAAGTCTACGAGGCAGTGATCGTAGCCTCCAAAGCCGGTCTCAAAGTGGTCAACAAGGCCTACAATGTGCCGTACCTCCTGAGCCGAGTTCACACGGCACTGGACATAACCGACAGATTGCCTTACATCTTGGACAGAACCGAGAACCTTTTCGACCCCTTAGATCGTCTCGAAAATTACTTGGAAAGAGTGCGAATCTTGGAGAAGAATTTGCAACTAACGTACCCCCTGCTTCCGCAACTGCCGCGCATGGTGGACATGTTGAATCAGATTGACTTCCTCGGGTTGACCAGGAAAGGAGAGAAACTGTTGGACAGAGTTGCGAATATTCCGATTGAAAATTTGGTGGAAACTGCGTCCAACTTGGCCACGGATTTCAAGTCCATCACTGATCTAGTCAAGCAGGCGCAAAGTCTCATCCCGAGCTTGATTCCGTTGTTCTTGGGCAACCGAGGTGGCGGTGGATCATCATCATCCTCTTCTTCCTCATCTTCGAAACCGGCTTCTTCATCACCACCTGAGAAACCAGATGACAACGATGAGTCAGTAGTGTTCTTCCCTCCATTGGACGAGGATGAAGAAGACTATGACGATACCGATAGTAAGGAAACGACCACCAGTGCGAAGCAAACGACATCTAGTGTTAAGCAGACTTCGGTGGAAACTACACAAGCACCAGCAGCGAGTAGTGGACCAAAAATTACTATGATGGTCATTGATCCGAGCGTGGTTGCCAAGTTGGATCCCAAATTGTTGGCTCAAATAGATCCCAAGGTGATCCAGAACATAAACCCAGCGGTATTCGCAGCGATTACACCCGAGATTCTCGAAGCACTGGATCCAGAGAAGTTGAACCAACTCGAGCCGAAGGTTTTGAGGAATCTGAATCCAGAGTTTCTGCGGAAGATCGACCCGAAAGTGTTGAAAGCTATTCCTCCGAGTTTGTTGAACTCTTTGCCGGAGGAACTCTTGAGGGACTTCGATCCCTCGCTGTTGGAGAACCTGGATTCTTCAGTTTTCGAGAACCTGGATCCCGATTTCTTGAAAACGTTGGATGCCGAAACTATTCGAGCCTTCCTGGCGCCTGGGAATAGAAGACGTAGACATGACAGAATGACTTCGGAGGACTTTTTCAAGACGTTGTACAAGGCTTTGGGGCCCAGAGGAGGCAAGATCAGCTATAGAATTCTCCCGTGATTTCATTAGCGCATACGAGCCTTATTGGAATTTACCTAAAAATTGTTTAATCCATCACGTTTACGCGAATATAAGAATATTTTTATCATCGTTCAGAATCGCAAGATTTTCAAGATTTGTATGCGAAATGGCAGTTTATGATGATGAAATGGTGTTCCGATCGAGATGCGAGCACGAATTCCGTTATTGAATATCGTGAAAACTCTTCATAATATCATCTTAATGTATATATGTTATCATCAAAGAGGTTAGTCAGTTTTTCATTAGTTCTTCATTTCAATTACTTTCGTTGGAAGGGTTTTTCCAAAAATCAAAAACCTATTCAAATATTGAATATTCCTCCGTCGTTGACGATCTCATAGCATGATGTGAACTTGATACAGAATGCTGACATCGAAGTCACCTGTGAGAAATTATCCGCATGAACTTTTTCCCACGAATTGTTTCTGCGATTGATTGTGTTTAAGGGTTCATTGAACTGTATCTTGAAAATTGGCGCGATTTTCAAGTGCAAAATTTTCTAACTGATTGTGAAGCTAAGTGCATATACAGTAGTAGTTGGAAGCGCTGAACAGCGAACGGAAGACGTTTCTTATATTCGCGTAAATGCGGTGATATTGTTGCTTGTTATTGATCCTCTCAAAACGGCTTATGTTGTCTTGTTGTTGTTATTGATTGCTTTTTTCCCGAACTTACCACAGCCAGTAATGTTGTTGCCCTTGAAACGCAGCACAAATCGGAACTACGGTTACCAAGGATCGAGTGAATACGAATGGTGCACATTTTTGACGCGTAGACTATTTTTTTCCACGGCATCTCTTCAACTGCAAATTTCATTGCTTGCTTTCACTGCTAATCCACGCCTTCGTTTCTCTGTTTTTTTTGCATGACATGCGTTATTCTGGAACGCAATGAGTTGATTAATTTGCATGAGTGTTAGCCCAGTGCGCAATGCGATTTTTTTTGCTGCATGAGCTGGATGAACGTCTGTTTTTGCTGCATGAGCTGGATGAACATCGCATGAAAAGGCAAGTTGGCGTTGCTCAACTCTTGTAAGTTGTAATTGAATCAGTTTACTTTTCAGTTTCTAGAGGAAGCATAATCTGGGACATCTGGTTTGAATAGTTCGCTTCTTTCGTTTAAACTCCGCAACAGCAATATAGGAAAATAAATGTAGGAAGTGGAGTTCTTAGAAGTTATACACGCTGCAGAAAATGGGTATATTCCGATCACTTGTGAATACATCTTAGACAACCCCTGAAGTCTACAATAACGGGACTATTTTAAGCTATATACTGAAATACTCCGCTCGCGTTTTAATTTATTTATTTTCAATTTTTTGCTGGCAATATTTATTAAGCGAAGACAGAGTATAATGGCAGCTATAGAAAATGATACTGTTAAGGGAAAACTGTTTCGAAAAATCTCTGCTCTTGATTTACTTTGTCAAAGAATGCCGAAGGTGTTCTGTTCTTTTTTCTGTTTTTATGACAAGCATCTGAAGCATGCCATTCAGCATTGCATTTTCTTCTGTTCAGATTGAAGAACAGAAGGAAATAAAGATTGTGGGATGACGCAGTACGTGCTCAAACTAAAATACTGTACTGTAGTGTAAAAGTGTGATCACCAGTGCTGTTACCTAACCGCGACAAAAGATCCCTCTTTGGAACCGGCTATAATTAAGTCATGAAGTTCATTTTAGCACCAGATTATAAAATTGCGCAAAAATGCGGACAGGGACAGCTCGATAATTGTAGTGCCCCTGCTGAGTAATTCTAAAGGCTGTTCTGTTCCGAAAGTTTAGCATGTATAGCTGTGACGATTAGCTCCCGAAGTCTCGCATCGATAGATTAAATATGGCGGATCATGTGTCACAGCGAAGTGTTTTATTGAATCAGCCATTTCTCAGCCAGTACAGAGACCAGCGTGTTGTCATGAGTTCTCATAGCTGATATTTGAATTCATATTGTTCTTTGTGAGTTTTGCGGATGAATGTTGGCAACTGTGATTTTGCTGACGCAATTCGATCGTTTCTTTTTCTTTGCCGCAGAAGAAAGGGAAGGGCGACGACCAGCTGACCCGACGAACCTGGTGGAAATCAGAAGGCACCCTGATCAAACCCAACCTCCTCGCCAAAGTGTACGAAGCCGGGATTGTCGGTGCGAAGGCAGTCGTCAAAGTCATCAACAAAGAGTACCCGACTCACTACCTGATCCAGCGTGCGGACATCGCCTTGGACATCCTGGACCGAACCCCGTATTACCTGGATCGTCTCATCCCGATCCTAGATATTGCAGACAACCTTCCGTATTATCTCGGTCATCTGGTTGAAGTCGCTGAGATACTGCGTCCATTGAATCCACTTGTGCCGAGATTAGCTAAGCTTCTGAACCGCGTGGAACGAATCGACCTGGAAGGTACTCTGTATCGTGGAGACCAGTTGCTTCGTAGAGTCCAGAACTTACCCATCGAACGCATGGTCGAGTTGCTGTTCAACTTGTCTGCGGACTTCAAGTCGATCACGGACTTGGTGAAACAAGCGCAGTCTCTGTTACCTTCGTTGCTGCCGGTGTTCTTGCGCGGTTCTGGCGGGGGTGGATCATCTTCTGGCTCCAAGCCCACGACTACTACTCCGAAGACCATCTTTTTCCCACCTCTCGAAGATGAAGATGACGTGAAGGAGAGTAAGGAAAAGCAGCGACCCGCCATGATGATGTTGGTGCAGTTCCCACCGTTGGATCCGGCTTCGGATGCGTCAACTGAGAAGTCAGTGTCTACGACTACGAAACGACCTGCTTCCTCAGGACCCGTGGGTCTCGCTGCGTTGGATCCGGCTTTCATTTCGAAACTGAAACCAGAAGTGATCACAAATATTAACCCAGCTGTGTTGAACGTGTTGACTCCGGAGTTGCTGGCGGAATTGGATGCAGATTACTTGAACTCGTTGGACGCGAAGGTGCTGAAGAACCTGCAGCCAGAGTTGTTGCAAGGTGTGGATCCCAAGCTCTTGAGATCCATCCCTGCGAGTTTGCTGAATGCTCTGCCTGAAGACCTGATCAAGGATTTCAAGCCTGAGTTTCTACAGGGATTGGATCCTTCGTTCTTCCAGAACCTAGACCCATCGCTGTTGGAAGGTTTGGACGCGGAGACGATCAAAGCGTTTCTCGTGCCGGACTCCAGTCGGCGGATTTTCGCGGTTTATCCCGTAGATGCTGTTGATTCCGTCCAAAGAAGATCCTAGATTCGGTTGAAATTCCCGATTTGGATACTTCCTGATCAAATTTCTCACGCAGGCGATTTCGTTTTCGGTTCCTGAAAACTTGACCGCTCGGTGAGAATAAATACCTTCGCATCAATCCAGGACAGCCGAACAGATCGTTCGCGTTGTTGTTCAGCCGGTGTATCGAGTATGTTGTTAAGCTCTGAAAAAGAGCAGGATACGTTATTTTCCGTGGATACACTCGGAAAGCATGATTGAACAAATCAAAGTTTTTCCACTGATGAAGAGTGGACTATATTGTTTGTTTGCCATCTTTTTGATCGATCGAGAATACTTCGACTAAAACACTAATTCATGGGGTTCGTCGCATAATGGAGGATTTGCAGGAATAATTGGGGGACATCCGATCAGATTGTTTCTGTTATGCGTATCCAGTGAAATAACTGATGTTCGTTGTTAAATTTTGAGAAATTTATTTTTTGAAATAATGCCCTCCGAATGCCTCACAGAAGTATAGTTCAGCTGGTCTGAACGGAAAATTACGGAATATTCAAGCTTCATGATGTGCGAAACTGGTGATTCTGACGAAGTTATCAACGTTGATCGACTCATGATTCGAGAAATCTCGTTCCTGTCGAAAGTATTTTTGTCACTTGTTTAATTTAATTCCGTCCGCATTCCTACTGAATCATTATCACGCTCTGTGTTACAGTTTAGAAATTGAAACGGTGTTTCCCCCTTGAGTTATTTCATGTTATAAGAATTTGATCCTTGTTACCCGGTATGGTGCAATGGGAGAAGTGATTGCTCAATTTTTTTGCGAAGTCTTGTTGTTAACAAATATTCAGCAGCCATTTTTTTCTGTGGATACTGAAGTTACCAGCTCTGTTGATCCGAGGCTGATTCCTGTTATATATACTTAACATGTTTTCTTCGTTTTACGGCCAGTTTCGTCGACCACCGATTTTTTTATTTGTTGTGTACATAGATTTGTTGGCAGCTATGAAATCTATAGAAGATTGACGTATTTTATTTGTCTGTGAGAAGCGGAGTTTATTTTTTTGGGTTTAGAACTTCAGTATATCAACATCTTACCTCGCTGATTGATTTGCAGTAGCATCATGGAAATCTTCCTTGTTACGACGTGAATGATTGACGAGCTAGTCTGGTTGTTAATTCTGTTCTATTTTACAGACTTCCTGATGGGAGACGAGCCATATTTTGAATGTTGATAATGTTTTTGTTCCTCACAACAGCTTTGTTATGTTCTGGGGAAATATTCTGTTGTTTCTTTGTTCCTTGTTGTGTCAGAGTTCTTCTTGGGAAGTAAAGGAGGTTGTTGAGAATGCTTTGATTTATTGATTTGGGTTGCGGGAGGCCTGAAAACATTTAATCGCAAATGAGTTTTCTAGCCTGACGAATTCAGGATCAACGTGTTAATTCCGCTGTGAACAGCATCGAAGAAATTATTATATTCATGCCTAAATGAATAATGAATCTGGGTGGCACATACATTTTCATACGTTAACGGAATCTTCGCAAATGTTTTCAAAAACATTTCAAATTAATCCTTTGAACACCATGGTAAAATAGTCCTACCAACAGATCCGCTGCTGCGAACCGGTGGCAAGTCTTGGGTACTGCATGAAACAATTGGGTAAGAAAATACAGACACCTCAACATTTATGGAAGATTGGAAAACTTCTGGAAGACTCATGAAAACTTTGAACTGAAAATCTTCTTCAACATCTGGAAAATGACTCATGATAAGGACATTTTGCAAAAATTTCCAATTAAGGAGTAGAATAAATAGAATTTCCCAAAATTGTTAACACTCGTGGACAAATTCAGCTACCGCATGCTATGTGCGGCATAGAGGGGAAATCAATCTTATTATAAATTTACTGTACTCCAGTTTATTTTCCGAAACAGCTTTCTAATTTCTTTTTTAGTTTTGTATCTAACTGTGTACAGTACTTATTTCGTCCTTCTTCAAAAAACTTTTTCATGTCAAAAATGCAGTTTCTACCAAGATTTCTTGTGCACCTTTTTTTGTGCTTAGAAGTAAATAAAGTAAATTGATTTTTGGTGGCGTAATTTGCTTTTTTTTTGCAACGAAAATTGTGCTGTTAATATATAATGTATAATATTGTTTTCTACACTCTAGATCTATTAGGTAAAACGGGAGACAATCTTCAGTCATTTGCATTTCTGGGATCGTTTTATTCTTCTTCCTTATTTTACCTGCTTTTGTTAAGGACGTGTGATTGCAGAAGTGATTGCTCAAGTTTAACGCCAAGTTTTGTTTTTCTTTACAAATATTCAGCTGCGATTTTACTGCAGAAATTCATGTGACCGATCCTACTAATCCGACGCAAGCCTTTTCTTTTTATGAACCAACACCCTTTTTAGTCTTTCATATGTCACATTTTTCATTTGTGGCATTAATAGTTGTTCCATCCCTAGAAATATAAAAAGGAGCCATTAATGTTTTGTCCGGAAGAATTCGAGGTTTTTTTGTTGCTTTTAGGACTGCATTATGTGCTGATGACAGCAGTAGGTATAGAGCTTTTCGGTAAAATTTTTGTTACACCCAATTAATGTGCATACGATTTTTTGAGAGATTGGAAAAAGAGCTTTATTGAACACTTCCTGTTGTTACACAATTCTTTAATCGAGAATATAAAAAAAAACAGCAAAAGCATTGCACAACACAACAAATATTTCACACTATTTCTGAAAAACATATTGCGCGAAAGAAAAATACACAATCATGATAATCTGCTGCATTTCTCTGCTGATAATATCAGCCTTTCATTTTTGTAATTGACAGTTAATCACTTCGCAATACCATTATTACATTGCATAAACATCTTATTTTGCCAATTTTAACTCGCATAATTATGCAATTCTCACTGGCTTCCATATAAATAAGTGAAAAGCTAGTTTGGTTGATATTTATGTTCTACTTTTCATGTACAGTACAGGTATAGACTCTCTACAACAAAACTCAGGGGACCAGAAGAAATTCATCATCAAGATATTTTTCTTATAGAGAACCCTTACAAAGTTGGGTAATGGCCCCTATATATGACTAAAAGACAACATGTTCTACATGGAAAATAATTGTAGGCAAGATCATTGTAGGTAGATTCTACCTGTATTCTGTTTTTAATGAAACTCTATGGCTACTCTAAGCAATTGGCAAATTTCCAATGGATAATATTGAACAGAATTTTGAAATGCCTGCCTGCTACACTCAAGAAAAGCTCAACAAAAATGTTTAAAGTATAGGCGTAACTACAGAATGCATTTCAGCAAAAACTTTCAGTACAGGAACACAGAAAAAAAAGAAAGGTGTTTCAGAAGAAGCTGGGCATAACAGTTATGCATAACAAACACGTTTTGTATGCGTAACTGTTACGCGCAGCAATACCTGTAACAAATTATTTGCTGGGTTATTCTGCGCCAGCATTATAAAGACTTCTGCAAAATTCTTGCAGCTGTTCTTGAAATTGTAGTAAAATGCAAAATGCTGTGCTTTATAGCAGATGATCTATCAAAAAGCTTGCCAAATTCAGCAACAACTTTTGAACTCCAAGGTGGACAATGTTGAAGAAATTTCTGAATTTAGTTTTGGCTTAAAAAAAAACAAAGAACACCCACTCACAGGACGAAAAACGTGTATGATGTGTAAGACGTACAGGTGTATGCCCTCTAATCGGAAGTCACACATCCTATCTTTCAAAAATTGCGATTTTTTGGAAAATTAAGCTACATTGAAAGTCCCTGAAGAGATTTCTTTGCAAAAATATGATTGTTGAAGAATATAAAATATAAAATGCAATAATAAAACGCACTGTGCTTTTATTAAGCATTTGACTGTTGTGGTCCAAAATAGTGTTTCCCAACCCATTGTACATGGAACAGCGCCAGTCTGCAGATGATTTTTGCCTGTCCATGGAAAATTTTCTTCAGCGTAATACATTTATCAAAATTGAGCAATAAAGTTTGATAACTTTGTCTGTAATTTCAGAAACACAATGACAGTTGAAATTATCTGATGAAAAATAAAAATGGGCTTTTCTCCTAATAACACTTGGGACTAATTTTCACTGGTTGAAATAAATTATTTTAATTTTTCATTTAAACCTTTTTCAAGCTGATCTTTCCAATTTTTTGAAGACAATTCCAGCAAAGCTGCTTCATTAGTTCATTCTCTCATTTTTGCAAGAGAGCAGACATTTTGCAAATACTTGCCATGAAGTCTTTCCATTATAAAGAATTTTTGAGTCTGCAAAAATTTCATGAAATTTTGTCAGTCTGCAGCAATCTTTCTGAAAATTTGCTGGTCCACAAACAATTTTATGGAAATTTACCTGTCTGTGGGCCCAAATAGTTTGAGGAACACTAGTCTAATTTGCAGTTGAAAAATAAAATTTGACTTTCCTCAGACAAAGTGTCTCCTGCTGAAATTAGTTATATTAATTTTTCAATTTGGAAACCTTCATTCAAGTCCACTTTTCTAATTTTTGATGATATTCCGCAATGGTTATTGGTTCTTAACTTAATTTTTTTCAATAAAGCAGAAACTTTTTAAATACCTGCCACAAAGTCTAAAAAACCTTTTTTGCATCTGCAAACATTTTACAAACCCTTGTTGGTCTGCAGAAAATTTTCTAGAAATTTGCTGATCCGAGGACCCCATAAGGTTGTCGAACACTGGTTTAAAAAACGTCGGAGCTTATCATGAAGCAAGGAAAAGGAATCAACATTCTTTATATACTCCTCCTTTTAAACTCAAAATCATGTAAAGTTAATATGATACCAATAGCTTTTTAGATTCGCAAGCATTGTATTTTCAGATTATTAAAAAATTCTCTGGACAAGTTTGCTCAATGACTTTCTATATCTAGAAGATTTGAACATGCTATTATTAAAATTATGAAAATTGGGAATGCGCTTAATTTTATGCTCGCAATAAGAAAAATTGATACTTATAGAAATGTTGAGGTGATTCCAATGTTAATGCGAAATACAGTTCTGCGCTTCAGTAATTGCTGGAAAAAGCGTGTGACAAATTCAAATTAAGCTCGAATTCTTCCGTCGTGCAAAAATATCCAAATACAAGCAGTGGCTTACATTTCTCGCGAATACCTCGTCCCTGCCTTTTTTTTTTTTCGCGACATAAATGGCAAGATGTTCTGAAGGAATGCCGAAAGCATACATTAAATAATCAAAGATTCTAGGTTGATGTTTGAAATAATTTGTCTCTTCAGATGGTCCAGCAGCAAATTCTACTGAGCCTTCGAATTGGCTTCAAGGGATGCGACAAGTTGCTTGAGGTCCCTCAGGCCCTTGTGCAGCAATGCCAATTCTGTTGCAGAGTCGTCACTTGCAGATACTGCGGATTTTCTGCTTTCCAGCGCCAAAATTAGATCTTCAAACTGCTCCCGATCCATGACAATTGTTTCCACGGGCAACTCATGTTCATCTCTGTTTCCTCGAAACCTGTTGATTGTTGACGTCCATTAGGCTGCTGACTGTTCACAAATTTCCAGGAGCAGGTTACTATTAATTAATTAGAACTGTGTTTTTTGAAACAAATCGGAGAGGAAACAATTGTTTTGCGACTTGCTTCTCTCTAGAATTATTATATTCGAGTCACTCTATGAGTCTTAATATTGTATCTTCATGAAATTCAAATTAATTAAATTAGTTGAAAATAAACGCTTAAGTTCCTGAAGCAAAAACGCCATAAAAACACTGTTCTAGAACTCTAGAAGTCTTGCGATTATATTTTTGAAAAAAGTTTGATATGTGCCCATTCTTATTTTTGTCGAATGCATCAGAAGTTATGACTTTTGCTTCCAATTTTTTTGCCAGCTATTGAAAAGAGCATTTCCACTCAATACGCAGTCCATATGTAGTGGTTTTAAAAATTTTGCGTGGAAGAAAATCACTCGAACGAAAAGATTAATAAATTCGGGATAAGCTAAATTTCCGTTATCCCAGAGTCCGGATAATTTATTACAAAACGTTTTAGAGGTCTTGGCCATTACGGAATAGGTAGAAAATTGAATACTTATTCTCATAATAAATTTATTCATCATGCACAAAAGAATACATTTTTGAGGAATATTTAGCAGATCTCCCATTATGGTAATTGGAAACATTTTAATCTACTGAACAACATTTGTCAACGAACTTCTGCTCCTCGGAGAAATTTTTAAATTCTGTGTGGAACACTTGTTTTTTCTGAATCACTTACTTGTCAACGAACTCGAAAAAAAGTCAGATTTGTAGGAAATAAATTCTGAAGTTACTGTGGATCATTCGGCTTCTTCGCCTGAAGCAGAGAAGCTGATCGGGCACGACCCTACGAGGGTCATTTGGACAAACAAATTGAAACCCAATGAACAACCTTTGTCAGCTTATGTCCTTCTGCTCTGGTATTTTTTTTTCATTTTGCCTGGAAAACTGATTTTTCAATTAATTTTTCGACTTTTTTTCAAATAGATATGTCCAAAAACAACCTCAAGTTGGCAGGAATCGACTCTTAAACTTACTTTGGATCATTTGCCTTGACCTGCAGCAGAAGCCGATTTGGGTACACATCAGCAGGAGAAAGCGATCTGCCCACGAAAGGCAATTTGGCCAAAGCAGCCAAAGCCCGATGAAATTTCCTGATGAAACCCGAATTCCCCCTGCGTTTCTCCAACAACCGCTTCTGCTTCATTCTGGTCGAGCTCCGAATCAACCGGAGCATGAAAACCAGCCTTCGTTCGTTGCACAGGGCTTCAGCATCATCCTCCAATTCCCGGGACACGCTGATGGCAATGCCGATGAGCAAATTGCCAACGATGAGGTTGAGCACGAGAACCCCGCAAATGGCGAGTATCGGACCTGCCAGAGACAACGGGTTGCCGGGATCCGACGCGTTGACGAACGTGGATGTCTCGAAGTTGGCCATGAGCATGGACACGGATTGGAGCAAGGTGGCCGGGAGAAACTGGATCCCATGGCTGCTTTCGGTTTGATCCGCAAACAGGGCCACCATGCTGAAGCAGAAACCCAGCACTGGCAAGAAAAGGAGGCCTACACCCGCCACCCGACTCACGGTGCGGAGGAACATCATAGCCGCCTTGCCACCACGGTTGGTCATAGCGCCACAGGCCTAAACAAGGAACACAGAAGCGCGTTGACATCTTGGATTTATTCGACCGCTCTTTCGGGAAATAAAGCAAAACAAGTCGGGTAGTTTGAACATTTATTTTGTAGATGTCGCGCGCACATTGGGAAAACAAGCTGCCGTTGAAGCTCAGCCTGGGAATTTCATCAACTGCTCAAAATAATTTATTTTAAACCCTGATTTTCTGCATTGTAAATTTGTGATTGCTTTTGAGGATGAGTCTTTCAAATCAAAATCATGACTTTTACACTGAAGGAAGATTGAACAATCTAAGAAATCGGAAAAATCCGATAATCCCATCCACGAGAAATAGTTTTCTACTCGGGAAAGGAAAAGCTTTCCAACAAATTTAAAGGCAAATCCTCTCGACTTCTTCATTCACTGATCCTCTCAGTGTTTTATACAGACGTCATAGTGAGGCAACAAAAGTGGTATCTCTTATCCTTCAACTCTCAAATTTCAACAGTCTTGAGGAAAACTTGTACAATACAGCATTTCACTCAATTTCGCATGCGTTGCACACCGAACCATTAATAAAAAGCAAATCATGCTTTAATTTGTAAAATATCATCATCTCTACAACATTAGACAAAGAGTGGGGCACCGAGATCCGGACATTATTGGTGCTTTGACCTTGTCCCTATGTCAAAGTGTCCATACAGTATTTCGGATCACATCTTCCCATAGACCTCAATTGGGAACACGCTATATTTAATTGGTTTTCCACCTCATCAATATTGAGGAATATAATCTCATAGAATTGCATTCTTTTTTCAACTCTGAAATCCAGAAAATATTTGTTCCTTGACAAAAACTGCACAGAATTTGATGTTTTGCATCAGAATGAACTCAAGAAACAAAGGACAAGAGAATGTCTAGTGAGCAGATGCTCCATACAGTCTATAGTTACAGTGCAAACCTGAGCAAAAAATATCAAAAATTAAAACTCTGAAAAAAGAAGCAGAAAATTAGCCTGTTTTAATTATAAATTCTACATACAGATAGTAATTTTTAATGACTTTATTTTGTCTTGTTATTCTTTTCTGGATGTTGATAGCTCAATTTGTTCATAACTTGTCAACAATTCAACATTTAGAAAAATAAAAGTTTGCATTTTCCTTTAAAATGCAGGAAAAGTGTCTGTCCATATCTCAAAAGACATTGTCCTCATTCCTGGTCAGATTTTTGTAGTTTTTGGTGTGCCTATAACAAGTCTAATTTTCCGTCTACTGTACCGGGAAGTCCGTAAGTCGAATTACCACTTTATAGCGTTACTTCTGTTCTCTATGAACAAAAAAACAAAAGATCACCTTCATGAATGCCAGCGACGCCAACAACGGGACCAGAGGCAGGAGTATCCGCTGGGCGTACATCCAGGTAACGTTGGGGTTGTGCAGTCCCACAGCCAGCTGCAGTACCAGCAGACACACGAGCACGTCAATGTAGCTGCCCTGCTCCAGGAGGTACGCCAGTCCGAACTCGTGCACCTGCTCAGTCTCACGCACCACGACCAACAGGGCCAGGACCCACACGGGCACGAAAACAAAGTAATTCTGCGGCGGCGTCCGGACGAACTTGACAGCGGAAATGAGATACAAACACGAGAGGATGCTGGAGATGAACAGGAATGCGCCGTACACGGCCAGGTTCCATTTGAAGCGGAAACGGAACGTTTTGTCGCGCCAAGTGACTCGCAGCCATTGGGAAATGGTCGGGTGCGACAGGAGACATTTCCTCGCGAAGTCGGGTTGGTCGAGCAGGCAGTTGTGGAGCACCCGCAGGATCTCGGCGCCTTTGTCGGTGTCCATCTTTTTCTCCTCGTCCACCATCGCCACGGGTTTGCCAATAATTTTCGCCCATGGAAAGCAGCCGGGTTCGGTCTGTGCTGCCGGAACCGCCATCACGGATGGAGTCGCTGGTGGTACTGCGGAGTCGTCGGGAACTATTTCCAAGGCTGTTACTCTGTTGCTGACGAATCTCGTGGAATGGAGCAAGGCTCCAGAGATGTTCTCAGGCTGCAAAAATCACACATGAATTTAAGCCAGTCTTCCACACAAAAAAGGTGATTCGTGCTTCATGAATTAAAAAAATTGCAATAACACAAACGCTGCGAAACGTTGTTCATTTAGACTTATTGTAAACAGCATATTACAATAAGCGAGGCAGTTTTAAAAATGAGCTCCAGAGAAGAAAAAATTTTTAAATAGCAAAAATATGTTGCATAAATATTCCCTGATACTGATAGAAATGAGCTTAAGAACGATTTACAAGTATTGGAAAATTTGGAATTCAATAAACAGACCCTTTCTAAAATATTAAAGGATCAAGATAAACTGTTGGCCTTTCTGATTTCTCATCAAAGATTCTCTTTAAATTGTTCATTCAGCTAAACCTCATACAGAAACAAGCTGAAGACCTTGTGCTTTAAATTAATTGTTACTGATATTTTGTTTTCAAGGCCAGGAAAGGGAATGGGTGTATGCATACATGTCAGATGTCCAATTGTATTTTGTGGATTGTATTCTCTTTTATTTTTGTGATCCATCTGTGCTCTGTTTCCTGCTCTGAAGTGATTAAATGTCTTTGAGTGGATCTGGGTTGGGTGCGGAGGGGGTTCAGATGTGGAAATCTTGATTGAACCTTGTGAATGTTGAAAAGCAGCAAATAAAGTATTCTGTTCATTCATTCATTGAAATATTCCCTCCAAGAAATGTATGCTCTTTTTTCAGAAATTAAATTAATGTTCTGTCAAAGTCAAATGCATTTGTGCCGAATCAGAAGTTAGATGAGCATAATATACGCTCAAATGAGCAGAATAACAAAACTATTAAAATAAGGAAAAAACAGCATTCCTCAACTGAAAATGTTTTTTTCTTCTGAAGAAAAAAATAATTCCTTGTAAATTCCCAGATCTTATGACTGCTGCCACATGTCATTCAAGGGGACACAGACAAAAAAAAAAAAAAAAACACGAGCTTACTGGCTGTGATTCAATCGTTTTTGGAGCAGGGTAAAAACGCTCTCGCGCCTCCTGCCATTTTTGATAATCAGCGTCACCCTCATCCGGAGCCACGTTGAGACACAATACGCAAGATGCCAATTTCAGCTTCAAACTGTGCTGCAGAAAAACCTAAGCAAAACACAAAAAGGTAAAAATGAATTGAGCGGTGAACAGAATGGACCGAAAAGAAGATCGAATTTAAAATAATACTGTATATATCCCGAATAAATGGTGGAGGTGTAGTATGTTTCATCATTGAAAAATTAACCTAGAGCTAGAATATCACATTGTTTCTTATGTTGAATGCTTTTCATCCACATTTGAGCTCAAAGATATGGAGATCTATTTTTTGGATACAAGTTGAAGCATTTATCATGAATTGCGAATCAAGAAAACACTTACTCGGATAATACTGTTTGATATTTCAAGGTCTGGTAGTTAGACTTGTTTGAAAAACATCTGACAAATTGATTGTTTTTGCTAGTATTATAAATAGATGCAGGCAAAGTCCAGGCTCTTTGGCAAGATTCACTGAGCCTCATCCAAGGACACAAACGTGGAAATCACTTCTTTGATTTTTCATGAATAGGCCAATCATGAGCAAGGAAGAAATTACCTGATTTCTGACCCAGTGTGCACACCCAGGTATAAAAAACTTCATTCCTCTTTGAGAGGAGAAGTGAGAATCAAGTGCTAAAGGGTCCTTTAACTTATTTTTAAATCAATAAATTCTCCTGAGGTAACAACCACTCTTACTACCTCCCAAGCAATCCTGAACCCATTCTACTCTAACAAACAAACATTCAGCCATTTCTCCAGCAGCCAAATGACAATAAAGAAGTAACTTCACTTAACAAGAGTTGAGTCCTTGCAAACTTGCACTTTGATGGCTGCAACATTCAATTCATTTGTTTTGGGATGCAATGGACCCCTGATACTTTTGTTCATATTACAAATACCTTGTAATTCCTTATGCAATACTGTGAGACCCCCACATGCAGACACCTCAACATGGGGACATTCATTTTTTAACAAAAAAATCATAAAAAAGACCCAACATGAGGACACTGACTCAACCTGGGGACATTGCAGGATAAAATTCCAAAATAAAGTTCAGGAAAATAAATTTTTATAAGGCTTAATTGCAAGAAACAGATGTTCCCAACCTAAGATCTATGCAAGAAAAATTCTTTGGTACTTTTCCCATAATTTTCTCATCCATTCAGCTAATTTAAAAAATGCCCTATAGCACAGAGGGACTTCCTTCCAGCTCTCTTTGTGACATGGATGTTATTTTTCCAGATGCCAACTTTTCAATTTACTGTACAGAGGTACACTATTTAATGTTCCAAATGTTCTTATTGGTTTGAAAAGATATTCATTGAATAAAATTCAAGTGTCAAAAATTTTTTTTCATGAAATTCTGAAGAATGTTTCTTCTATGAAACATCAATTAAAAATTGTACAATGTAAGTCTATGGGAAGCCAAGATTATGTCCGCATTCTGTGGGTCTCACTGTACTTTCATTGTTGCCCCAGACAATTCTTCCCTTGAAATTTTAACTCTGCTGAGATGGATATACCAGAACCAAAAATCAGTCCAAATTTTTTATGTTCCATATATTCCTACTACAACATTTGTTGTAATTCTGTTGTTATCCCAAACTGTCAGATGTAAATAAACTTTATAAGAAACTTCACAAGAACGTCTTCTTGTTTTCAGATCTTTTAAGTTTTACCCGATGATTACTCGTTGAGATAATCTTTGTCGAGAAGCTTTAATCTTATGGCCGGGGTAAAGCAAATGAGACAACTTCTCTTTCAATCCAATACGTGTATTTCTGATGCAGCGCAACAACAGTCCAGACCAGCAATGAGCGATGAAAGAAGCGTTCGGCCGCTCCTTTATAGACAATGTATGCGCGGAAAGGGTTACTGACTGCGCGGGACCGGAACAAACAGAAAGTAAACCGAGTCATGTGAATGACCGGTCAAAAGTAACACATTCCGGTGCTTGAACTAAAAAGCGTTGCTAGGCGGATCTCACATATGAAACACAGTTCGAGAACTGGGTATTATTACGCTGTTTGAGGACTCACAATTATGATGACACTGTATAGACGACTAGAATAATCTTATTTCTGCCCCAAGGTGTTCTTTTCTTGAAATTGTCTAGTTCTGCTGAGATGGATGTCATGACTAAAATTCAGTCCACTTCTTTTCTGTTCCATATTATTTAAATAAAACAATAACATAAACCAGAGAGAATGATCCTGCCTCTGCCAAATAGGAATCCGCGATGACAGTCACATCCTCCAGGGCAGAAAAGCTCATCAACTTTTCAAAGTCTTCAGGACACACGTTGCGGAATGCTGCGAGGATTACCCGACGCATTTTTGGGAAAGGATAATCGGGGCTCATGACCAGTTGCACCACGTTGGCATTATGCTGACTCAGATTCACCTCAAAAGCCAGTTTGCCCACGCTGGAAAGTGCTGCGGCGAGTTGCGTGGCATCGCCCACTTTCAAAGCCTCTGTCAGCTTGGTCTCCTGTAAAACAGCAGCAGAAAAAATATAAAATCTGGGAAGTGGTCATATTAGTCAGTGGCAAGACTCAGGTACTATGAATAATGAGATACACTATGATTAAAAAGGACTTGATCATATACAGTACAGTACTGTATATGTGATGGTACCACACAATTTGTCCTCTCACAATACAACCATCCTGCAATTCAACGGTCAAATTTGCAAGCAAGTTGACTTGCATTTTAACCTTTGCCCTCCAATCTGACCTGTTTTTCTTTTTTTTTTTTATTACATTTTTACTTATATTTTTAATTTGATGGAGTGTTTTGCAATTCAACCAATTTTCAATCTGACTCTAGTTTGGCAATGGATTAGGATCAAATTGAAAGGTACCACTTGTAAATGTAAAAAGCAGATAATTTTGTTCAAAGTCACCCACTGCTTCTTTGTGGCATTCTGCCAGTGATAGCCAGGCAATCTGAATAAGTCAGTCTCCTGTATTATTTTGCTGTACTTTTCAAGTGTTACAAAAATGTCATTTGGACTCAGAAGTCACTAGAACACTGTCAGGTTTGGGCATCATCCATAATAAAAAAAATCAACAACAAATTTTGGAAGCTCGAGTTCACATATAAAGTTCTTCTATTTTTCTTGGATTATGAAAGTAATGTCTATGGTCAAATTATTATTTTGCAGTGTGGATTAGCAACAATAATACTTTCTAGAGGAATGCATTATTTATAAAAGCTTCATTCTAGTACACATGAAATGCTGTATGAACCAATATCTGCTTGGGACAGTTCTCCTCAAGTGGATCTGCAATCCACTGCTGACAGAATTTTTTTGCAAACCTCTCCTTCCATGCCAAACGATCAGATTATGTGTGTTTTTCTTCTGGACTGTTATCTTCTTTGTTTTGAAGGCATGCACAATCTGTTATTAAACATTTTTGGAGACTTTTGCCCCAATTTTGATGAACAGGAGAACCAATTAAATATACAATGGTATCCCCATAGGCAGATACCTTGAAATGCAGACAATTCAACATAAGGACACTTGTTTTCCAAAGAAAGGCATAAAAAGTCCGAAGATGTGGACACTGACGTGAAATGCAGACATTGCATGCTAAAACTGCAAAAACATTTCAGGAAAAGTGACTTTTATCATTCAAAATTACAAGAAACAGATAAATTCAGCCCTAAGATCAATGTAAATAAATTTTTTGGCAATTCTCTCATGATTTTCTTATCCATTTAGATAATTTCCAGCATAGAGGAACTTCCTTCTCTGTTTTTTTACACAATTCTTATTTTTACAGAAAATGCCAACATTTCAATGTACAGTCAAACCCCGTTAAACCGCCAACATCTGTGCAGCAAGATTTTGGTGGTTTAACAAGGGTGGCAGTCTATCAAGGGTAGTGGTTCACTACAAAATTACTACAGGACAAACAAAATAAGAAAAAGGATGATGGATATAAGAAGAATACCTTTACATTAATATATGACTTCTTGTGCATTTTTATTAGTGTTCTTGCTTAATTTTGGAGCAAATATTGCATCCATTTGTACCTGATTTTTCAGCAATTGCATTCTGTTCATATTTTAAAATTGAATCTCTCTCCAAATTGGCAGTTTAAAGGGGTAAAAAAACAAGGACAAGTGCCTATTTGAGGCCAGAAAATTGTTGGCGGATGGCGGTCTATTGAGGTTTCCCCATCCTTTTAACATTGGGGAGATTTGTTTGGGGTAAAAATATGGCGGGAGGTGAGGGTGGCGGTTTATTGGGCAGCGGTTTAACGGGGTTTGACTGTACTCAACCAATGAGGTATTGCCAAGTTTCCAAGATCCACTTGGTTCAAAGGTTTGGAAGACAGTGTCGTTTTTGCGTGGACTTTTTAGAGTAGGAAAAAGGGTTTGCTTTGTGGAAATTTCACTGAGATTTTTACTTTGATTACAGTTTCAGCTTTTTAAGCTGGGATACTGTTTCTTATAGGGTTTTGGGGGTTCCTGAAATTCAAGGACCAAAGGTCCATTTAGGTCCATTGTGAGAATGGGGAGGAAACTTGATTCTCATGGAAAGAACCAAGGACAAGTTTTGGCAATTGCCAAAATTCATCCCTTTTATGGCTCCATTCTTTTAAGTTGCTTTTTTGGTGTTTTCCTTCGAGGATTTATTTCCTCGAGAGGCTGATATGAGAAATGGCCTGCGGTTAGTTGGAAACAAGATATTAAATTTGCTATGCTTGACTCTGAATTTTACGGGGAGCTCACAAAAATTCGAGACAGAAGTCCAATCAATAATTACATCCACATCTTGTGGCCCCCCTCCGTACCTAGTTCCTTTGAGGACAACATAAAACAGATATCATCCATATACGCTCTATCATAAAGTACCAAGAAAGATTTGATTTCAGCTTGCATCGTGCTGTTTTCATGCTGTTGGCACCACTCATACGTGGTCATGCCATCGCACACATGATGACCCAACTCCTCGACCCTGAGCGGAGTTTTTGACCTCATCAAGAGACTCGACAACACGGCCCAATGTTGTTCCTTGGCGAGTTTGGCTGTGGAATAACTGCTCGTCGTCTCGGTGCTCGTGTCGCCAAACCGACCCATTTTCAAAAACTGCCTGGCATTGTTGAATGCGTCTGAGTTTTTGGCAGTCGACCCGCTGGACCTGAGAATTTCGTCACACGTGGCCCGATTGGGAATGCAGCCAAATGACGCGACGAGGTCTCTGATTTCCAGGAAGTGTTCGATATTGGTGTGACCAGGGCCCTGGGAACAGACCCCCGGGAAAAAAGTGCATGGCTTTTTCCAATCAGAATTGTTCACTTTCCGGACGCAGTACAAAAGCATGGCGTCTAAAATATTGTCGCCGGATTTGGTCGTGCAGGCTTGGAGCTGCTTGCCGAAATCGCGCAGGGATTTTGTCGAGATTTGGGCTTTGTTCTTGTCAGCTGGAATGCCCTGAGACAGACTCGTCAGAATCTGTGCCACAACGCCTGATTGTATTGCAGCCAAGTTCGTGAGTTGCACCAACCATCTTTTCGTCTGGATATGAAGATTAAACAAGGAAGTGAACCGTGAACTGAGCATTTCCGGTCAAATTCCAACAAAAAATTTCCGGGGTTAATATACATAAACCATATGAAGTTCCACAATCTCACATTCCGAAAAAAGTATGTTTATTTGTATTCAGGAGTTCTCAGTACTTTTATGTTAATTTCTACTTCGACTTTCCTGCAAAAAAGGCTCCTTTCCTCTCTAAAGGAATTTCGTGCGTTTGAGACATCCCATTTTTTTCCAGCTCATTCATCTTTCAATGATGATGAAACTTCTCTTAACATTTTCCAAATAAAGTATTGTATATTAGGATGTTTAGAGGGGAATAAGGCAAGAAATGCTTTCGATTTGCAAGAACTGTCGTTTTTCTGAGAACAACTCAAAACATTCCCAAAAGAGGACAATCGAAATTTTTTGGTACAGTAATCAAACTGCTGAGTTAACATTTTAAAGGATGCTCAACTTCAAATGGTTTTTTTCATTTATTAATCTGTCTTTTAATTTGGCCTGCTGTGTTTAAAAAAAGCTTCGAAGGAGTAGAAAACACACAACAAGCATTTTCACAATCAATTTTTTTTTTACCTGATACACGTACTCAAATCTTTCTTCCTAATTAAAATAGAATTAAGTTTATGTTTGAGTAGCAAATTTTAGTTTTGGAGGTTTAGAAGAAAAAGTTGTCAAACTTTGAGAAATCTAGATTAAAATATTTTAAGGGACTTATTCTGACAGGGAATCAAGGACTGTACAGAAATTTAATGTAAGGAGGATTTAGACTGATGGAGGTTCAAGTTACCAATACAGTACTGTAGATCCAACTGATGTATCATATTTTTTCAACAACATTTTCAGGATTTACTTTGATCTATTTTGATCTCTTTTACTCTGTAAACTGCGTTCCATGTTGATTGTTCAAATTCACATTTCAAACCATTCAAAGGAAGGCTTATTAGTCATGAAAATAACTGCATCTCTGTCATGTTTTTCTCATTTTCAAGGAACTGTGGAGAGGTGCTTACGTTCTTTGGTGCAGCGCATCTCAAATACTTCGCATAAAAATTTTTGCAACTCGAATTGAAATTATTTGGTTCCATTTACGTTTTCCACCTGAAGTACATGGAATTGATTTCAATATTTTATCTAAAACCGTTGGTATACTGAGCTCAATATTTTTTTTACAGTAAACTAGTTCTCCTTAGTTGGAAATGAACAGCTAATAAATTTTTGGTATTTTTTTTGCTCATGGCAAAAATTCACAAAGAATGGAAAAAATTGCCTCTTCAGCAAGGCTCAGATTTTTTTAATCCTTTAGCTTGTATTGTTGCATCATTCAAGGATTAATCTCAAGCTTGAAAGCTTGGATCCCACTTCGGTGGTCACTATGGAAGTAGTCCAACTTTGAAAATTTTCAGTGCATCCTTATCCGTGGAACAAATTCAACTTTGCCTTTCCCACTCTGCAGGAATTTAAAACCCCTGTTAAAATTGTGCTAAACTAAAATGCACATCCACACTCAGAAATTCCAAATTTGCACAGAGATGGAAAAGAGCCCTCTGCCACCCAAGGGTTAATTTTGCAGCAAGCTTCCTTACCAAAAATTCCCTGAGCTTTTGAATAGTTGGAGAATCTGTTTCAGGATCCAGCCTATTGATGCCACGCAGGATTGCCCTCCAAACCCGGGGTCTTGAAACATTCCTGTGACTGAAAATCTTCTCCAGGTCTGTAAGATTTGAGAGGTTGGATTTTTCTTCCAATGACTGCAGCTGTAAAGACACAAACTTCCAAAGTTAAAACAATGACACATTTTATTGTCATGAACAAAACAATTTTGCAAATAACAACTCCTGAAACTTCATCATTCCATGTTATGACAGATTTATTGCAGTGATGAGATGGATGTATGTGTTCAAGACAGTTATTTTTCATCCGTAGCTGAAAGATAAATTTTTCATTTGTATTTTCATGAGTTTGTGTTCTTGATGACTTCTATTGGTGATGATCAGGAAATGGGAATGCTTCTTGAAAATTGACCAATTATGACAAAAGTGATGGCAGGCCATTGTGAATAATGAGTAACAATCATTTTGAGCAATCTGGTCATCCCAAAGAAATTTGCATGCAGGGGGTCACAGGAGCCTTGAGTCTGACACCCATATTTTTCTTTTGCTGCCATCAGCAAGTTTGAATTGGGATTCAGGAGTGGAGCAACATACCACTGCTCAATTCCTTTTCACATCTCACCCCCTCCTACATTTTGGAATTTATGCACCCCTGAAGGCATGGCTGAAGTTTGTTGATTGAATCACTGGTATTGCATCCCATTTATCCTTAAAAGCAGCTCATCTGGAGAACAGCAGCTTAGTGGAAGGAGTGGCCTGAAATCTTGTTTTGGTGGAAAGTTTCCATTTCAAATGGTTGTTGTGACCATGCTGTGAAACTTGGGACCATAAAAGGCATAAAATTTGGACAGGAATTGAATATCAAGCTTTCATTTGCTGATTTGTTTTCATTGCCACAGTTCAATTTGCTACCAAGCTATTTGGAGTCAAATATTGGTTCACTTTTTTCTTTCTACACTGTATGGGCATTTTTGTCCCTAGGGTGCATTTAGTATGAATATGCAATCCTGAAACTTCAAAGGGTTAAATTTATTCATGTACAGTATTGTGATGGCAAAGTCTTCTCAGCACAGAATATTGTGAATTGTGAAATGTGTAGCCAGAGTCCTTCATCCAGGAATTAATCATTTACTATATGAGTTTAGCAGTTCTGTACACTTTTTGTTGAAATAATTCCAAAAATAATTTATTTTACTGCTTAAAGAGTAATCAGAATTCATTTGGAGGTTTTTCTTGCTGTGACAAGCAAAATTTAGAAAGACATGTATTAATTTTTGACTGAAAATGGCTTTGAACAGATGAGACAGACACTTCAAAATATCTGTTGAGCTGGCGGTAGATGAATACAAGCCAAAATATACTGAGCCAAAGCTGGATGCAATTTCAGAGATCTTCAAAAAAGGAGTATTGATGACAAAACTGTATGAAAAAATGAGGAAATTGGATGAAGGGAAACCTCTAAGTTGAATTTTCTGATGCCTTTTGGTTACCATAGCCTGGAAACATGAAAGAGAAAATCAATAAAACAAATTATTTGATGCATTTTGGAAGGGATTGAAAAACCAATACAGCAAGTGAACCCCTGTCTCCAAGTTCAGCAAGGTATAAACTCAGTAACAAGCAAGTTTAGGCCCACAACATCCTCATCTACAATATCCTGCAATATTTGTACAGTCACTTCCCAACAAAAATGCCTGTCTCCTTAACTGGAAACCTTTGTTGGGGAAAGAGAAAGAGGGGATCAACAGCTGCAAACAAAGGTTCAAGAATGTCCTCGACTCCTCGTTTTTTCTGACGTATCCTTCAGAAGGATAACAACTTTTATGGCAATGCTTTTTGCGCCAAGTAATTTAAGCTGTATATGTTTGCAAACGTCAAACTTCAGAAAAGAATTATTGTCGTTCCAGGGAAATTTACCATTTCCTTCAGGAGGAAAAACCATTTCTCTATGGCCTGAGAAAATCGGTAGATCAGATTTCTCACGTTCCTCTTTGTAGGAAGTTAACTCAAAACGTTGCAAAGACCCGAGTCCCTGCCGAATTTAATATGCTCAAAGCATTCTTTACGAAAAAGCCAAAACAAACGGCTTAATCCATCAAAAACACCGACTCAAAGAAAATTGCTGAACAAAGAGTTTGACCTCAACGGCAAGCTTGGCCGCCGCCAAGGTCTGTTATTCATTAAGAAGCTGAGGCCCATTGATTGGGCCGCGCCAAAATTCAGCGGAAGATGACCATTTGCTCAACCCCCTAACGGGACACTTCCCTCAAGAAATGGAACCCTTGGTTCCCCTGTTTTTCCGGAAGCTTGAAACGTTAAAAGGACTGAAATTTCTACAACGAAGACACTCTACATCCAACCTCTTCTTGACGCAGAACTCAAGAAACAAATATTGCCAAGATTCAAACCTCAAAGTTGAATAAAATTTGAAAGTTGTATATTTGTATAGAAAGAATTGTACATTTGAAAGAACATAAACGATTCAAAATCTGGGTTTAAAAACCCCTGCCGCAACCCGACTGATTGTGTGTTCCCGTTTATTCTATCTGTAAAAAACTCTAACTTTTCATACCTCAATTTCACCACAAAATTGGTAGCACAGTGTGGTTTTTATTTTTCACGCCTCTGGTAAAGTTAAAATTGAAGTGAAAAGTGAGTTACAAGTGAAACCACTACAAATTTGATGATGCCTGGAAAGAGGCAAGCAGGAAGAAGGCCAGGAAGGCCGGTCCAAAGGGACATGGTCAATCAAGAAGACCTAACCAAAGTCCCAATCGACACAAGATTAAGAAGATCTCTGCAAAATTTGACAGGGGAGCAACCCAACTTGCAAGAGATCCCTCAAATCATAGGAAATGAAGACAAAAACGACGTCCTGATGGACACATCAAGTGCCACAAGTAAGCCATCCCAAATCTCAGAAAACTCTCAAACGGAGAGCAACAACTTGACGGAAAGTCACGTCTCAAACCAAGTTGATGCCCAAGAAAGGGCCCTGCAACAAAAACAAGTCCAAAAGAATATGCTGACTCTTGTACGTGCCATCAAAACTGGCGACAAGGTTTAAAAGGAGCCAAATGACAGAAAAAGAAAAGATCTCTTTAGAGAAGTAACTGAACTTTTTTCAAGTCTTCACTGTCTCATGATGGACATAGAAATCCAAGACCAAACGGAGCAAGAAAAGTTGTTGATAACGTCCTTAAAAAAGGAAATCACGACGGTTGCAAGTCAATGTACAACTACCTTGGCAAACACTTGGACAGAGATTTGCCCCTCTCTGAGAGAAATCCTCAGGATTACAATCCCCTCCATGGAACCAAAATTAACAGAAATAAGAGCCAACTCCTCCAGAATTTCAATGACCCCATCAAGGTCTTTGAGGGTAATCTCAGAACCATCATCATCATCCTTGTC